GGGCTTGCTTGCGAGCGGCGCGTCGATGGCCCCGCCGAAAATTCGCTGGCCCAACGGGCCAGAGGCGTGCTGAGATCTCCGGTAACTACTTAACAATATTTCTAGTTTGCGCGCGCGGGGCGGCCCCTGGGGGCCCCCGGGCGAAAAGTGCCCCGGCCGATCCCCGGCTGACCCCCGGACGATCCCCAGGGAGGGGGCTATTTTTCGCCACCCCTCGCGAGGATCGTGGCCTCCGAGAGGGGGGCTGCCAACGACTACCCCCCATCCCGCCCTGAGGGGCCCCCAAGAGCCCCCCAAGAGGCCCCCGGGGTGCCCGACGCGCCGCCACGGAGCCACAGGGCGCCCCCAAGAAGCCCCCAAGACGGCCCCAGGCCCCACATGGCGCTCCAGGGCCGGCGGAATGAGCGAAGCGATTAAGTAAGAAGGAAAACAAGCGAGAACACGAAAAACACCCGGCAAAACAATGGCCCCGAACAAAGGCGCACACGGCGCGACCCAGCGGGGGCGATGAAAGTCGGGACCGGTCGGGGGGGGCGCGGTCGCCGCGACGCGCGCCGACGAGGCTGCGCGTTGAATATGGGCGCGACTGCGCGTGGGCATCATCTGCCCCGGAGGCAGCGCGGCGTAGCGGCCCCCGGGCGGCCGGGGGGGCGGCGGGCGGGGGGGGGGCGAGGGGGGCGGGGGGGGCGGCGGAGGAAGGAGGGGCAGGAGGAGGAGGAGTTATGAGCGCCACCAATTCCGACAAACTTCACCTCCCGCACCCAGGCGTCGACGAGGCTGGCGGGCGCTGCGACGCAGACGTTGCTGGGCGGCGAAGAAGGCCGCGAATCTGATGTTGCGCTGGTTTGGGGGGTGGGATTCTGCGCTGGCCTGGCGGCCCACTTGCGCATGGCCCAGTTGATCTCGACCTCCGGCGGGGTCGCTTTGGACGGGGAATATTCGGGGGGGCGAGTTCCCGCGGCCCCCTGAGAAGACGGAGCGTCCGGCGAAGGAGAAACCTGAGGGGCTAACGTCGCTGCATGGGGCCCCTGGTGCAGTGGCGACGGTGACGTTTGGCGCGCGGGTCGCGGCGCGTCGTGTCTGACGGGCGCTCGTCGCGCTCCGCCGTCTCTCGAAGTTGGGAAGCGCGGCGAGCTGTCTCTGGCCTCGCATTCCCCGCCATAGTCGGCGCCAGAATTTGACGCGTGCGTCGGGCGCGCGTCCCGGGCGGAGGGAGCTGCGCAGAATGCGTGGCATGAGTCGGGTGAACACGTTCGCGCGCGCGAAAATGGGCGCCCCCCCTTCGCCCACGCGAACCGCTTTGTCATCGCGCGTGGGCGACTGTGAGCGACGGGGGGGGGGGCCTCAAAGCCATTCGCAATCGTCTGCATGGCGCTGCGGTGCGTTGGTGGGGAATGCAAATTGGGCGCGCGGCGGTGCCGCAATCCTGCGTGCTTCCATGGGCCGCGTGGCGAAGTGTTCCATCATGGGCGACCCTCGCGCGATCTGGGCCTGGCGCTGATTGCGCGTCAAGGCGTCGGAGTCGCCGCGGAGAATGCGCGTTCGGAAGAACGCCCAGCCCCCCCCCCGCGCGCTGGCGCAGTGGGGACTGCGTCGGTTAACTTGGCTTCGCCAGACATACAAGGATTCGACCAGCCAGCTGGGTGGGTGGGCTCGCTGGGCCAGACAACCCCGCGCAACTTGCGACGCAACCGCGCGCCCGCCTGTCAGACGTTGGCGCCGGGCAATTCGGGAGCTAAGTTGTATTGGGGTTCTAGATTTGGAAGCTAGCTAGCTGAGTTTGAAGATCAAGAGATCGCGGAATCTATGCCGAACGTGATGGGCATCAACGCTGTCGTGATAGTTGTCAAGTCACCTCCTGCGCTCGCGCTGGTGCTGCGTGATTCTCAGGAAACAGGTCCCGTGGAGATTGGCGCGCGATCGCGTTTCGTAGGCTGTCTCCAGCAGTCAGGCCCAGCGCCCCGCCCGTGCATTCGCAAGCTCTCGTCGGGACCCTGGCCCCATCGATCGCGCGAGAGGAACCGCCTGGAGACAACGGGCCCGCTCGCCCCAGCACGGGGGCGGGGGGGCCATTTCGCTTGAGCCAGAATTGCCGCGGACTTGACGGGGGATCAAGGTGGTGGTGGAAAGGGGGGCGCGTCAAGCCATTCCGTGCTCATTCGCCCTCCCGGTTCCCGCTGGCCTTTCTGCTCTGGCGGCGAGGTCCGCCGCCGTTTTCGCGGCGCTGACCTTTGTCGCGCAGATCATCGTCAACGTCGCCGCGCGGGGTTCCTGGCAGCGCCCCGAGGGCCCCCGCGCGCGCCCGGAAAGCCTGGCCGAGGCCCTCTGGGGGTCCGATGCGACCCCCAAGCTTGCTCCACGCCGCATGGTGGCCGCGCCTCGCCATGCTGATGTCCGTGTGTCCTCCTGCGTCCGTCTTGGAGCCTTATGGGCCCCATGCGTCGTTGAACTCATTCGTGGCCCTGCGCGCCCCCCCCCGCCCATGTTTTTCCCCGCGGCGACTGATCGGACCAGATTTGGCAATCCCAAACAAGTCGAAACAAGATGCGACCGCGCATCGCTGCGTCGTTTCCCTGGGGGTCATCCCGGGCCGCCTGGGGGCGCGCGAGGGGCGCTCGACGAGCTTCGCCAAAAGTCTCGGATGGCGCGCGGGGCCTCACTGCAAACGAAGAGAGGGTCCTAGAGCGGCTGCGTCTCGCGTTGTGGACCTCCTTTGTAAGTCATGGGGTTGTCTGGGGAGCTGCGTGAAAGTCTGGCGGTGTCCTGGCATTTTCGCGTCGCCTCTTCTTTCAGCGGCCACCCGCAACATTTGAGCGCAAGGACTAGATGTGAGGCGAAACGAAGCAACTGTTTAACTGCGACAGAATTTGCATATTGAACTCTGACAGCAGTCTATACCATATTGTCGACAACCCACGCGTGTCATTTTCGGAAACCAGATCGTCCCAAACCAATACCAACCAAGCATATTAACATACCAACATGTTTTCCAAAGCCCAAGTGGTTTCATCCAAATTAAGAAAAGCAGGCGCCACGCGCATGTTTCCCCGAACGAATGATTGTCATACTCTCGCTTTGGGAAGCCCATTGGTTATGGAACAATGTGTGTTGACGTTAATATCGTTGATGTATTCCGAACTGCACGGCTTCCACACTTGTTCATGCAACGCATGACAGTCGGAGATCACTCTTAACCTGCAACTTTCCAAAACCATTTGAAATGTGGTGGAACGGACCACCGACATCACTTAAACTGTGCTTGCGGTGCGATCATATATGCAACATAGGTCAGCATGCAAATCGCCGCAATATGGTTTATACGCTGGCTACGCTCCATACTCACTCAGCACGCATGCGCATAACTCAGCAGCGCACCAATCATAGCATAGGCACGTATGCACCCACACAAAACATACTTTGAAGCGAATCCCCAAACGGAGAAACGAACCCCCGAATGTAACAACAGCGCGCCGATCTTGAAAACGAGGAACGCGTCCCAACGTGTTTAACATCAACTGAACCCCCTTCCCCCTTTTATTCGTCCGTCACGATTTCTGGGCCCTACCTGCCGCCCTGCCCCTGGCTCCCCCCGAACTTGAACCTTTCCGCGCCACCAGCGCGCTTACCCCAAGGGGGCCCAGGAGGCCCCTCAGGACGCCCAAGGGGTGGCCGAGAGCCCAAACACCTTTTTCCTCCTTATCGTCGTCCTCTTCCGTCGTCGTCCTCCTCTTTCTAGCCCTCCTCCTCGTCGTAGCAGTGCACCCCCGCGAGAGGCACAGTGTCAATCGCGCAGGAAAAAAGGAAGCCCGCGGCCATTTCTGCGCAGTCAGTACAGCAAGGCGGTGCCATGTAGCACGGATGTTGCTCAAGTTCTCTGGCACACGCCTGGCAGCGGTTCAAATTTCCTGTTTCCGCTCGCAATGAGGTCTGAGCTTTGGTCCACTGCAAGGGCATCAACTGCACCTAATACACGCGTTCCGCGGAGTGGCGGTGCAACGTGGCATGAAGGTCCCTGAGCCCTTGTCCCTACGCCCAGGCGGGGATCGTCGGGTTAGAGCAGAGCTCACCCGTTTCCTGGGCTGATTCCGTTTGCGCATTGCCAATGGCCCGTCGGCTGTTTCCTCCAGCTGGCTCTGCTGCTCATTTGAGCATGCAGCTGAAAAACGCAAGCGGGTGAACCCCGCCAGCGAAGCCCCCGCAGGTCGGGCGAACCATGGATGCCAGAGGGCTCCCGTCGGAGCAGCGAGTCATTGGCGACTTCCCTCCCCTGTGCCCGACGCGGCCGCCACGCCCGGGCCATATGATTAATGTAGACCTTGTCGACACCATTGCGTTCAAATCTCACGCCCCTGTTGTCGTCGTCCACATCCTCCCCCTTCGCCTCCTCCCCCTCCTCCTCCTCCTCCTCATGCTCCCCCTCCCCATCTTCTTCCTCCTCCCTCCTCCTCCCTCCTCCTCCTCCCCTCTCCTCCCTCCTCCTCCTCCTCCTCCTCCTCCTCCTCCCTCCTCCTCCTCCTCCTCCTCCTCCTCCTCCTCCTCCTCCTCCTCCTCCTCCTCCTCCCCCTCCCCCTCCTCCGTCTGGAGGGCCCATTGTGACAACGGCGGCTCTCCCGCCTGGCACGCGTTCGCTCAAAGATTGGTCCCCGGACCCCTCCTGGAGCACGTCCAGAGTCGCTTTCCGAAGCGGATGCGGCCGTGGCGAGGAGACGCCTCCCAGAGGCTCAGCAAAGGGCAGAACACGCGAGGGAGTGCCGCCGTTGGCTCGACTGGCCCTCCTCCTCCTCCTCCTCCTCCTCCTCCTCCTCCTCCTCCTCCTGCTCATCCTCCGTCGTCGTCGTCGTCCGCCCGTCCGAGAGTCCGTCCATCCATCGATTCTCCTCCTCGTGCTCCTCTTCCTCGTCGTCGTCCTCGTCCTCCTGGTCGTCGTCGTCGGCGGCGGCGTCAGCGTCGTCGTCGTCTTCGAGGGCGGCAGCGGCGGCCGCCCGCGGGCAGGGGCGCGC